TGATTAATTCACTATATAAAACGCCTTTCCTCCCTGCTCGTAGCTGTGACTAATAGCTAAGGCATCTACTATGTTTCAGCCGTGCATAATGGGGTCGGCCATTACAGGCGCAGTTGCTCACGTTCGTCATTGATTTAAATTGTTTCGAAATAGTTTTCCCCAACAGAAGACACGAAGCCAGCTTGCTCAGGTCACGCTCGAGGCATACGTATATATTGCCGCCAAGCTTTAGAGCATTAAGCTCATGGCCTTGATATTAATTAACAACCCACTTTATGCTATAAAAATAAGCATAATGTAATACACGTCCCATAATGACCTCACTCACTTAAGCACAATGAGCACATAGGTATAACAAAAGTAACACGTTATGGTACCGATCAATGCACAATGTATTTAAGGTCCCTGCCGATCGCATTAGCAAGTAGCTTTCGAATGCAACGATTATGGCCATTCGCTATATAAATCACCAACGTTTTGAAAGCCTCGTATAGCTTTGTTGATCATTTACACCTGGCAAAATTCGATACACACACATAGCGCTTCCTAATTCGCAAATAGGAACAAAAGGCTTTTCGTTTCCGTCGATTTTCACAGGATTTAGACAGTATACTTGTTAGAAAGATAGATAGTCTACGTATTTTACCTCGTTATTATTGTCCTTCGTGTGGTCCTAAGCAGATTTCATTTGGTGTATATCCACTATGGGCTATTAGATTAAGTAAATTTTGTTATTTTCTTTATTCTCGGTATTCATCTTGAACTATCTTGCTGCCGGTGCTATACAATGTTCTAGACGTAGTGTAAAAACAATCAGACTAGTCGTCACGAACAACTTAACTCAAATCACATCTTAAGTGGACCACAGGTACCATCGAATTTATAAATGCTGTCCTGAAGATAGGTTTTCCGCAGTTCATCATGTACGAGAAGAATGCCGTAGGCCTGAAGTTAGACGAGCTATAAATGACATAACAATAAAGGACAACAAAGTTTAAAAAGTACATCGACAAAATAGCACTCGTAAGCAATAGTCAGTATCATTATCGAAAATTGTTGATTTTTTTTTCCAACCTCGAAAATTTTTTTTAGCGAAGTAGCGATATCGGGAAACCTGAACGACCTAACTCTCCCGATGCGAGTGTCCTTAATTCACGATTCAGTTTAAATCTGTACGAACTCGCCATTGGCAGTGCTCTTCGCAGCATAAATATATAAAACGTGAAATTATTATACGTGCACATAATTGATCTTAAAGAAATATTAGCAACCCGTATTTTAAGTTACTTAATTTAACTTCAACAAAATACTTGCTAACTCCCTCGGTGAGTTTTCGTACATTGAAGCCTGAGTTTTAGCCGATCGGATTGGACTGAGTAGAATTGAACAACGGCCTATTATTGGCAGCCAGATATTTAAATAGTTTTCTGTCCATGAAATTTTTCACTTCCACTCGAACTGAACTGGAACACGTAAACAGAATTACGTGCGCAAAAATTGTGTGCTGAAAATGGTGAGTCAGCATCAGTCCATTAGGCGCTTGGACATTCCTCTTGGCCAACTTATTTAGTAGGAAAAGATCAGTATCGCGTTTGAATCGAAGGGGCAATAATGTCCTTTGTAAAAATGAAAAGTCCTCACGATGCTCCTATGGCTACAGGACCTTGCGAAAGCCCCGTGTCCTGAAGGTATGCGAATTCATTAGGAATGAAACCCAGCGGTGCTACCTAGGTTGTATTGCGCATGCTTAATTAAATGAACTAATCAGCGTTGCAGCACGGTTTGGTGCTTGTGTCGTTAAGCGAAGCGTCAGCAGACCTGTAAGGGTGTGTGTGTGTGTCTTACTTAGAGACCCCATCCAGTTTTCTTTCTTTGTGTATTATATAGGTACCCGACGGATTGACTTGAATATATTACCACTAGTTCTGTTCACGCCAATGCGTATACATTGATGAATTACTGATCCGAGCAAATATTCGCGGTCAAGCTCAGAACTTCACAATGAGATTGCGCTGTAGTACTACAAAGAAAAGAAGAGAGCAAGGTTATCGAACGCTCATATAAAACGTAAGTATTTATGCTCATATCGCGTTAGGGATTTCAGAGTCGCAGTGTTTTGAGTGACATCCGGTACAACTTTCATTGCATTGTTTCAGGCGATATTGTTTAGTGGGGTCGTCGCTAATCCTGCTCGTTCGCATTCGAGGGGTATACCGTAAACTAGGGAGTTTACGGTATACCC